GGGGGGGGGGGGGGGGGGGGGGGGTGCGACAGCGCCAGCCGCGGGGCGGCGGATCGGACACGAGGTCAGGGCGGCGGTTCAGGGGATTGGCATGGGTGCGTGGTGGAGGGCGCCGCGAGGGGTCGCAGTGCGGGCAGGGGCCCGGCGCGAGGGGCGGGGCCGCGCACCGAAGCGGGGCGGCGATGCTCTGGCGGGGGCGCGGCGTCGTTGAAGAGCCATCGGCGCGCCATTGTGTATATGGAGGGCGGGTCACTGGCGTCCTCCACGTACGCCTGGTGGGAGCGGAAGGCGGAGGGGCGCGCGACAGATGGGGCGGGAGCGGCCAAGACAGTGCGAGCTGCAAGCTCGGACGGGTTGTATCCGATGGCAGTCCTGCAGATTGGAGAATCGGTACTGCTCGGCCGCGCACATGCCGCTTTCCACTGCGCAGCGCAGCCGCCAGCAGGTCAGCACAGATACTGACGTTAGCTGGGGCCGCATGCACAGCAGGGTTTTCACCAAGTTTGATGCACGACAGCGGGCTGTGCAGCGTCAGCCCAACTACGGCCTGCCGCCGCCCCTCGCGTAGCCCCACAACAGAATCAGCCGCCACACCTGGCGATCTCCTATGGTCAGAACCATGGGCTGCTTGAAGGGGTCCGCCGCGAGCAGCGCCGCCGCACCACCCCCCGCTCCAGCGAGCCCAAACGGCGCCTGCGGCGGCGCGGCGCACCCAGTAAGGGGTGGCGGAGGCGTTGGCGCTGACAGAGTGGGGTGGCCGTGCACTGAAGCAGGACCCGTGTTCCCCTGGAACTTCCGCAAGACTTATAAGAATGGTCGAGACGCTCGCCACAGGGCTATCGCGATGCTCACCTGCCCTGGTGCGAGCGGCGGCAGCCCCGGCAGCGCGAGGGCGGGCGGGGCGATGGGTCCAGCGGGGGTGCTCGCCGCCACCATCTGCAGCAGCAATTGCTGCTGCTGCTGCTGCTGCTGCTGCTGCTGCTGCTGCTGCTGCTGCTGCTGCTGCTGCTGCTGCTGCTGCTGCTGCTGCTGCTGCTGCTGCTGCGGCTGCGGCTGCGGTTGCTGGCCCGAGGCTGTCACCTGGACCGCTGCTGAGCCGGGGGCGGGCACAGCATCATGC